GACCGTAAATATGCTAAAAGTGCTGATATGAGCTGCTTGGAAGCGAGCGGGATTGTCATGTTTGCAGTGCCCAGTATATTTTCTCGATTCCAATTCAATAGAGAACATATAACATGATATGGACCAACAAATAAAAGCAGAAATCACCAAGAATTTTTCCAATTTATGGGCTGAAAGTTAATATTTATGTCATGAAATTTCTAGAGGGTTCTGGTGAAGATTATGTCCAGGAGGAAGAATGATATTATCAAAATCTGCAACTATTCCACAAAATATAAAATTTTAAATGCAATAAGATAAATATAGCCGGTTGTTTTGTTTTATTTTTAATTTTTTAATGATTTTTTAATTTTGTGCTAAACTTATGTCCAGATTTTTTTGGGGGTAGATGTACTTTGGAAAGAAAAAAATCTATATGCAACAAAGTAGTGGAACAAAATGTAATGTGTCGTGATCCTCGAAGGACATGTGTTACGCATAAAAAAGAATTTGTTAAAAAAGTTAAGAACTATAGGAAATATTTCATGTTATAGGCAACATATACCAAGTGTGCTAAAATCGTAGCCACCACTGTATATAATTTTCCACTAAACTTGTCACATTTGCCATTAATCAAACGTTTAAAAGCCGATATAGTATTTTTGGCAAAAAATTTGTCAGTTTGTTAAAAAAAAAAAAAACAGAGAGGTAAATAATTTGCGCATCTGGAGGGGATGAAAAGGATTGAAATTTTGTAAATATTTTTATGAAATAGATTGTCATGGACATCGGTCCAACTGAACTATAATTCGTTTTATATTGGATCTATAGATTGAACTGTAATCTTATAGATAATAGGGTCTATGGTCTATTCTATTATCTGGATTAATGTAGAGTTTAGTGTTTATACTTATTTTTCTAAATTTCTTGTGAAATTTTTTATCAAATTTCCAAAAATTCTAAATTTTTCAACATTAATCCGTAAGTTTACTGATATTTTCTGAAAAACTTTATTATTGTTTTATGCTCCAGATTAAATAGAACAAATTGAACATTATTTTAATCATGTTTTTTAACACGAACTATTTAAATTTAAACATAATTTTTTTCAAAATTTTACTTATCTCCCAAAATACACTTTCACTTAAAAAAAAAAAAACTCAATCACTTTCGTTTTCAAGATCCCTTATCACTTCTTAAGAATCATTATAAAAAATATTCTTCTTTTAAACAAAAAGAAATATTCTTAAAATCTCATTAAAATTATGTTTTAAACATATACTTAAAAATAAATTTCAAAAAAATCGAATACACAGAAAAAGGTGACAAGGTCTGCTAAGAGAAAGAACAAGCAAAAAGAAAGTGATAATTATTTCAACATTTGAACAAACAAAAAATAAAATAAATACAATTAAAAATCAAATAAAAACTCATTATAATTGAAAGCTTCTTAATAATGACAAAATACAATGACACCATTTCCATTCTATTAAAATTCGCTAATACACAATCCGTACAATCTCAGAATTATCAAAATGATTTTCTAATCCCTTTTTTGCAAATTTTTACCACTTGTTTAGATTTATTTAAAAAAAATTATTAAATCTACTTGGCTATGGTGTAAAAAATTAAAACAAAAGGTGTAACAATAAATGTGAATACATAAATTAAAATTTATTGTAAAGATCAAAAATAAAGTGAGATAATAATTGAGGCAAAAGAAAAACAAAAATAAATAAAGCAATTTTTTGTTTTCTATAGAAATAATAAAAAAGAATCAAAGAAAACAATTAAAATCAAATAAAAGATATACCCTACAGTAGTTAAAGGCAATAAGACAATAGATGCGTCAGAAAACAATAGACTGGAAAGCAGTTTGCTCCATAACTTGATTTAAAGTTTAAAATCTGGAATAACCTGGACTATTGTTTAACCTACAGTCTGGACTATAGACAAGCCTATGGACTAAACTATAGTCTAGTCTATAGTCTAGTCTATAGTCTAGTCTATAGTCTAGTCTATAGTCTAGTCTATAGTCTAGTCTATAGTCTAGTCTATAGTCTAGTCTATAGTCTAGTCTATAGTCTAGTCTATAGTCTAGTCTATAGTCTAGTCTATAGTCTAGTCTATAGTCTAGTCTAGTTAGTCTATAGTAGTCTATAGTCTAGTCTATAGTCTAGTCTATAGTCTAGTCTATAGTCTAGTCTATAGTCTAGTCTATAGTCTAGTCTATAGTCTAGTCTATAGTCTAGTCTATAGTCTTAGTCTATAGTCTAGTCTAGTCTAGGTCTATAGTCTAGTCTATAGTCTAGTCTATAGTCTAGTCTATAGTCTAGTCTATAGTCTAGTCTATAGTTCTAGTCTATAGTCTAGTCTATAGTCTAGTCTATAGTCTAGTCTATAGTCTAGTCTATAGTCTAGTCTATAGTCTAGTCTATAGTCTAGTCTATAGTCTAGTCTATAGTCTAGTCTATAGTCTAGTCTATAGTCTAGTCTATAGTCTAGTCTATAGTCTAGTCTATAGTCTAGTCTATAGTCTAGTCTATAGTCTAGTCTATAGTCTAGTCTATAGTCTAGTCTATAGTCTAGTCTATAGTCTAGTCTATTAGTCTAGTCGTCTATAGTCTAGTCTATAGTCTAGTCTATAGTCTAGTCTATAGTCTAGTCTATAGTCTAGTCTATAGTCTAGTCTATAGTCTAGTCTATAGTCTAGTCTATAGTCTAGTCTATAGTCTAGTCTATAGTCTAGTCTATAGTCTAGTCTATAGTCTAGTCTATAGTCTAGTCTATAGTCTAGTCTATAGTCTAGTCTATAGTCTAGTCTATAGTCTAGTCTATAGTCTAGTCTATAGTCTAGTCTATAGTCTAGTCTATAGTCTAGTCTATAGTCTAGTCTATAGTCCTAGTCTATAGTCTAGTCTATAGTCTAGTCTATAGTCTAGTCTATAGTCTAGTCTATAGTCTAGTCTATAGTCTAGTCTATAGTCTAGTCTATAGTCTAGTCTATAGTCTAGTCTATAGTCTAGTCTATAGTCTAGTCTATACTATAGTCTAGTCTATAGTCTAGTCTATAGTCTAGTCTATAGTCTATTCTATAGTCTAGTCTATAGTCTAGTCTATAGTCTAGTCTATAGTCTAGTCTATAGTCTAGTATATAGTTAGTATAGTAGTCTATAGACTAGTCTATAGTCTAGTTATAGTCTAGTTATAGTCTAGTCTATAGTCTAGTCTATAGTCTAGTCTATAGTCTAGTCTATAGTCTAGTCTATAGTCTAGTCTATAGTCTAGTCTATAGTCTAGTCTATAGTCTAGTCTATAGTCTAGTCTATAGTCTAGTCTATAGTCTAGTCTCTAGTCTATAGTCTATAGTCTAGTCTATAGTCTAGTCTATAGTCTAGTCTATAGTCTAGTCTATAGTCTAGTCTATAGTCTAGTCTATAGTCTAGTCTATAGTCAAGTCTATAGTCTAGTCTATAGTCTAGTCTATAGTCTAGTCTATAGTCTAGTCTATAGTCAAGTCTATAGTCTAGTCTATAGTCTAGTCTATAGTCAAGTCTATAACTTAGGTTATAGTTTTTTCTATAGTCTAGTCTATAGTCAAGCCTATAACCTAGGTTATAGTTTTGTCTATAGTCTAGTCCATAGTCTGTACTATAGACTGTTTTTACAGTAATCTTATCTACAGTATAGTCTATATTCTGGACAATAGTTTTGTCTATAATCTGGTTGGTTACATTATTCTTCTGCTCCAAATATTACCTTTGCATTTAGTGTAGTAATCAAATAAACGTAATAATTCTAAATTTATACAAAGAAATTAATAAACTAAAACGGATTTTTACAAAGTAAACAAAAACTCTATACATTCTTAAAAAACTAACAAATAATGTTTAATAAACAATTAGTGTAGCAAAAAAACAACAACAAAGTGACAGTTTTATTTACTAAAACAAGTTTTGCGGCTTAAAGCAGTGACGTTTTTTGACATCATGGGTTTTAACTATAACTGCTTTAATTGACGGACGATGTGTCACACCCTTCTCTCTCTCTCAACTAAGAATTCGTATATAATTTAAGGTCATCAAAATTTAAAATATGTACTCGTATATTTCTAATAAATATATATATTTATTATTCATACTCTTGTTTTAATTTTTTTGTTTGCAAATTATTATTTGAATTTTATTTTGAATTAAAACATTTTGTATTCATTCATTAATTCAGAAACAAACGGCAGTCCCCAAAATTTTTAGAGGTTTTTTGTTTAATATTTTTTTATTGTTATTTTTCAACCGGCTAGTGATTCATTTAAATGTTTTTTCTTGGTGCAAATTTTATAACATTTGTTATTATTTTGTGATAAATCTTTTAGATCATTATTTAGACCTGTTTTCTATATTTATTATATTTTTTATGATTTTTTTTAAATTTATATAAAAAAATTTTTTCAAGACGTGCTTAAATTATTAGTTGTCATTTTGTTTGAACCGGATTATTTATAAATTAACTCATATACTGGGAACTCTTAAAACTGACATCATTATTTTAAAAAGCATCAGTTACTTGAGGTTTGATTGATAGATGATATGTAAAATGTTAAAGCGGTATAGAAATTGTTTACATTAAATTAACATTTGAAATAGTTAAACGTAGAATAAACTATTAAAATAAGTTTAATTTTATAAAAATATATAAATAGTTTAATAGTTTTATTGAAAACGTGGTTAAAAAGTTGACAACACTAAGGAATTTATATATTTCCACAAAATTATTTTGTATTTTAAAAGAAATGAACCTATAATATTAATCAGCCTTTTGTTGACGTAATCAATTTTTGTTTTTAATATATATTTTTTTAAATAATCTTAATTTTTTATTGTAAATGCTCCTAAGAAAAAAAAACTGTTAACTTTCCTTAAAACGGGAAGTTGTGATCACTTTTTTATGTTTGTTTACCTTTTCTTAATGAAACCGTTATTTTATTTCTTTATGTTTACTTTCTAAAATAAAGATTCCCTCAGCGTTGCCATTTGTTTTTATTTAAATTTATGGTTTGAATTGAAAATAGCTAAATAATCCCTATAAACAAGCTGTTTAACCATACGGCATCTCTAAGCAATCGATTAATTCTCTCTCCCTTAAAGTAATAACATCTCTAAGCAACAACAAAATACATAATGATAACAAAAAACAGCTGTTTTGTAAAAAAAATCTTCTCGCTCTTTCTTACCCATTAACAACAACAAAACACACACTTTCTTCCACAGCACTAACAACAAATAATACACGTCAGTATTTGTTTGTAAAATAGTTGAAGTAAATTTGCAAAATATTAAATAAATTTACAATTAAAATGGTTAAATTTAAAATAAAATCATAAATTATTAAAGTAAAAGTTATAATGCTCGTTAACAATCAATAAAAACCCGAAAACAAGTGAATAAAAATACATATTACCCCAAAAACTATTGAAACACGGAAGCCCAAACTGAAAAATTCCCTTAGCCAACATGACAAAACAACGTAGACACTCTCATCGTGAATCCACAGGCAGCAATGCCAGTAAAGAAGCAGCTCTTATTTCATCAGACAAACGCCCCTCTTATGCTGTCGAAATGAATGCCTTTCTCATAAAAGAACCCAAAAAGGAATTGGTCTTGAAACTATCCTATTATCATTTGGTATTTTTCCTCTCCGGTATATTAGCCATATGTGTTTATTATCACTATCCCTGGTATCGCATCAGCAATAGACAATTGCAACATTTACCCGCCGATCATTATCTGCAAATAAGAGATGATTTTGCCATCTATGCTGAGGTTGTAGAAAATGTTGATCAGCAGCAAGCTTTAAGGGAATTTTATGGGGAAAGTGGTGCCGCAGTCGCTAATTTACCCAAAGAAGATACTAATGTTAAGGAAGCCCTGGGCTCTTTAAAACTAGCTCTGGATATGTATAAGGCGGGGAAAATGGATAAGGCCCAGAAATTGTTTGAACATGCTTTTGCTTTGGCTCCTAAGCATCCGGAGGTGTTGTTGCGTTATGGCGAGTTTTTGGAACATTCGCAGAGCGATGTTGTGCTGGCGGATCAATATTATTTTCAGGTGATAATGAATAATATATGTAATTTAGACTATAAAAAGGACCCTAACCAGACTATGCCTAGAATCTAGATTAAAATTTAAGCTTTAGACTACAGAGGAGACTATAGACTAGTCTCCTCATCAGATCTTGAAATTAACTAAAATATGGCTGAACTCGAACTCAACTAGAACTAAGCTGGAACTGAACTAGAACTTAACTAGAACAGAACAAAAAAAGAAATAGAACTGAACTAAAACTGAACTAGAACTAAACTAGAACTGAACTAGAACTGAACTAGAACTGAACTAGAACTGAACTAGAACTGAACTAGAACTGAACTAGAACTGAACTAGAACTGAACTAGAACTGAACTAGAACTGAACTAGAACTGAACTAGAACTGAACTAGAACTGAACTAGAACTGAACTAGAACTGAACTAGAACTGAACTAGAACTGAACTAGAACTGAGAACTGAACTAGAACTGAACTAGAACTGAACTAGAACTGAACTAGAACTGAACTAGAACTGAACTAGAACTGAACTAGAACTGAACTAGAACTGAACTAGAACTGAACTAGAAACTGAACTAGAACTGAACTAGAACTGAACTAGAACTGAACTAGAACTGAACTAGAACTGAACTAGAACTGAACTAGAACTGAACTACAACTGAACTAGAACTGAACTAGAACTGAACTAAAACTGAACTAGAACTGAAAGAGAACTGAACCAGAACTGAACTAGGACCGAACTATAATTGAACTACATCTTTTTAGAACATGCAAAATATTGCCAAATTAACCTTAAAACCGTAAACCCTTTAATTTCTCACAGGCTTTAACCATAAATCCAAGTTATTCCGAAGCGTTGGCCAACCGTCAACGTACCGCCGGTATAGTACAAACCATAGACGAAAGACGTCTTATGGAATTAGATCGTAAACGTGATGCTCTTTCGGGTATACACGAATCGAATGCAGCTTTAAGAAGAGCCAAGAAAGAAGCTTATTTCCAGCATATCTATCACTCTGTGGGTATAGAAGGCAATACCATGACTTTGGCTCAAACTAGATCTATATTGGAAACACGTACCGCTGTCGATGGCAAATCCATCGATGAACATAATGAAATTTTGGGTTTAGATTTAGCCATGAAATATATCAATGCCAGTTTGGTGAATAAGTAAGAGGAGGATGGATGATTTTTTTAATGGGAATATAATGTTATATTTGTTTTGTTTTTCTTTTTTAGAATGGAAATAACTTTGAAGGATATTTTGGATATACACCGGCGTGTTTTGGGTCATGTAGATCCTATAGAGGGAGGAGAATTTAGACGTACTCAGGTTTATGTGGGCGGTCACGTACCTCCTGGACCGGGAGATTTGTCTATATTGATGAGACATTTTGAAAATTGGTTAAATTCGGAACAGGTTTTGTCGTTGCATCCAATAAAGTGAGTTCAAGTTTTTACAGAGTTCTCTGTGGAAAATTAGATTAATTAAAAACCAATTTTTATTTCTCTTGTTTAGACATGCCGCCTTGGCTCATTACAAACTGGTCCACATACACCCCTTTATTGATGGTAATGGAAGAACTTCCAGATTATTAATGAATACTTTACTAATGAGAGCTGGCTATCCACCAGTCATTATACCCAAACAACAAAGGTAGGTTTTGTTTAGGAAAAAACGGGAATTGTACTGAAGAATTTTAATTTCAGACACAAATACTATCAATATCTGCAATTGGCCAATGATGGCGATATACGTCCCTTTGTACGCTTTATAGCAGACTGTACGGAGAAAACTTTAGATTTATATCTATGGGCTACCAGTGATTTACCACAACAAATACCCATGTTAGAACAAACTGAACACACTTTAGCTAATATCGATAAATTAGTAACACCCACTAGCACAACACAAAAGCACAATTCACCAGCCACAGCTGCAGCACAGACTTCTACGAAAGATCAGGTTACCATAGAGGAAGAAGACTATTTTGCACCCGAATCTGGTTCTGGTGACATTTCCTAGCATTGGCCTAATGTTAAGCTAATGCTACAAAAAATCTTAATAATACTTTTAGGAATTACAACTTTTATTTTAACTTTATTATATTGCCTACTATTAGGTGTTTTAAATGTTTTACTTTAAAACAACTAAAAGTGTTTTCTATATTCATTTGCTGTTCAAAACTTAAAGGTGCTTTAGATAATGTTGTTTTTCCTTTTATTATTATTTTATATGACTGTGATTATTATTTTTTAATTAATTAAACCTAAAACCATGTATAACATACTAAACTGTAAATAACGAAATTGTTAAACCAAAAACATATTTACAAAAAAACTAATTTAATTATTTATTTATGAAAATAATATAAAAGCGTCATAATACATCAAGTAATTTAACAACTTCTTTATTTGTAAAAGCCTTGAAGAATCTTTTTCTAGTTTAAAAAAGTAAAAAGTTAAGAAAATTTTTAAAATTTAAAACAGAATTTTATAAATAAAAGATTTCTCTTACGCCAAATACAAATAAAAGTTCAATTTCTAGGAAAATCTATAACTCTCTAAGAGAGCTTTTATATATTTTGTTTAAAATATCGAAAGCTTTTGATTTTGTATAGAAAATCGAAAATCTCCGTATAGAATAGTTAATTTTCTAACGATAAACAAAAGCTTTCTTAGAGAGTCATATATTTTGTATAGAAAATCTAAAGCTTTCTTAATGAATCATCGATTTTCTATAGAGCATCAAAAGCTCTCCTAGAGAGTCAACTATTCTGTATAAAAAATCTAAAGCTTTCTATAAAAAATGGAGCTCTATTAGAGAGCTATAGATTCTCTATAAAAAAATCGAGAGCTTTGTTAAATAAACATAGATTTTCTATAGAAAATATAAAGCTTTTGTGACTTTTTATTGGAAATGAAAATTTCTCTTAGATAATCATAGATTTTCTACTGAAAATCAAAAGCTCTATTTCAGAGCCATAGATTTTTTTTGTAAAATATTAAACTTTCTTAAAAAACTTTTGATTTTTTGTAATAAATTGTAAGCTTTCTTAAAGAGCTATTTAGAAAATTACATGCTCTCGAAGATTTTCTACAGAAAATCGAAAACTTTCTTACAGAGCCATAAATTTTCTATAAAAAATTAAGTTTATTTAAAAAATTTTTTGAATTTCTATAAAAAAATTTTAAGCTCTCGTAAAGAGTTTTTGATTTTCCAGAGAAAACTGTAAAAGCTTTCGATTTTCTATACAAAATTGTAAGCGTTCTAAAAACGCTTTTTTCTATTGAAAATGAAAAGCTTTCTTAAAAAGCCTTCCATTTTTTTTATTGAAAATTAAAAGTTCTCTTGAACAAAATTTGATTTTCTGTAGACAATTGTAAGATTTCTTAATAATCTTTTGATTTTCTCGAAAAAATGAAAAGCTCTCTTAAAAAAACTTTTGATTTTTTTAAATAAATTGTAAGCTTTCTTAAAGAGCTTTTGATTTTCCAGAGAAAACTGTAAAAGCTTTCGATTTTCTATACAAAATTGTAAGCGTTCTAAAAACGCTTTTGTTTTGTAAGCTTTTTAAAAAAGCTTTTGATTTTTCTATTGAAAATGAAAAGCTTTCTTAAAAAGCCTTCGATTTTTTTATTGAAAATTAAAAGTTCTCTTGAACAAAATTTGATTTTCTGTAGACAATTGTAAAATTTCTTAATAAGCTTTTGATTTTCTCGAAAAAATGAAAAGCTCTCTTAAAAAACTTTTGATTTTTTTAAAATAAATTGTAAGCTTTCTTAAAGAGCTTTTGATTTTCTATAGAAAATTTTAAGAGATTTTACTTTTTTATACAAAATTTAAAGCTTTCTGAAAAAGCTTTTGATTTTATATACAAAATTTAAAACTCTCGTATAAAGCTATTTATTGCTTTTTTATAGTACTTTTTTGAAGCCTTTTTAAAAAAGCTTTTTGTTTTTCTATCAAAAATCTTAAAGAAACACCATTAAAAGTTCCCAAAATTTAAAAAAGCTCTTCTATAATTGTAAAAAAGTGTTTTATTCTAAGTTTTGTTTTATATTTGTACAATATACTTATAAAAAAATACGACCTAATTTAAAACTTAAAGCTTAATACCAACAATCACCACTTAAAATTAATATACATAATTTTAATTTTAACAAAAAAAAACAAAATTTTCTTCAAGAAAATGTCAAGTTCAATAGCTTTTAAACAAAATTTTCAACTTCAGCACATGTTTACATTTTAGCCTTGGGTATGTATTCCTTGTAGGTAACCTCACGCCACCATTCGGGACGTTCGAAAACTCCAGGAGCCGATTAAAACGGCACGTTTGCAAGTGTAAGTAGATCTAAACATAAAAAATAATTTGAAAAAATTACCATTTTTCTAATAAAATTTTTCAAAAAATTTCACTTACATTGCCATCACTCATGCCCAGGGGTGAATTTAAAATGAAATCTGTTGGTGCTATGGCATCCACCAAAGAAATGGCCTCATTTTTCAACGCTGGCAATAACTGCAAAATGGCCTGTTGATATAACTCTATCTGTTCATTGTTGCGGAAATATCCTCCCTGATAGAATATGCCCACATGTTTGGTCACTAGATGAGCACCAAACATGCTTAAAAGTTTAAGTAAAACATGCTTTTCATTGGACTGAGGTAAGTTCATAACAAACTTATAGAAAACATAATAGATAGAGCGTTGGCCATAGATAATAGCCAATGGTTGGGCATTGAAGACTTGCATATTGTTGCGTGTTTCGAAGGCATCGAGACCTTGACGTTTAAGGGCCTCTACACGCTTAACGGTGACATCCAATTGATAGGCCATCAGCCAGTTGAGAGCTTTTAAGTAGACCTGCAGGAAAAAAGAGGAAGATTTAATTAATTTTTTTATAAAAAAGTTTAAATATTTTTGATTTTCTATTGAAAATTTCCAGTTTTCATAAAAAGCTTTTAATTTACTATAGAAAAATTGTAAGCTTTGCTAAAAAGCTTTTAATTTTCTAAAAAAAATCTAAATTTTTTCAAAAACTTGTAATTTTCTTTTAAAAATTGTAAGCTCTCTTAGAGAGCTTTTGATTTTCTATAGAAAATTGTAAGCTCTCTTAAAGAGCTTTTGATTTACTATAGAAAATTGTACAAAACAACAAAATCCACTTACTATGATGACAAACCGCTTCCAGAGGTGTCTTCTCTTCACCCTTGTACTTCAAAATCTGATCCATATCTTTTAGGAATGTTACCGATTCCATAGGGGAAACTTCCTCATACTTAGCACCACCACGTCTCAGACTAACCAACCAATTGGAAGCCTGTTGTATTAAGGTATTATTTTCACCCTCATAAGTACAATTGGCATCGTTGTCATTGCGCAAATCACCAATGCCGGTTGCCTTCAAATAACCATGACCACCACAGGCTTCACGACACTCCTGAATACCATCACGGGCCGCCCAAGTGCATACCGGTTTAGCGGCTGAGGATAAGGCATGCAATTCCATGCCTATACTCGACATATCTTCACCCATCATAGAGCGTATGGTCATATCAACATTCTTCAGGCCCAACCACATGCTGAAGATGCGCAAAGCATAGGTGGTGGCTAAATGGGGGAAGAGACGATACTGCTGGGATTGATATTCAATAACAGGCCATTCTTCTACACTTTCATCGGGACCAAATTGACGACGCGCTGCTGAGTAACGGGTGGCTATAACCATGGCTTTGCTTAGAGCCACATAACCCAAATTACAAATATTAACACGTCCAGCAGATAAGGCACCCAAGGAAGCACCCAAACGTTTGCGGCTGTCCTTGATAGGACTGTTGTAGTTGCCCTGTTCATCAATATCACCAGTCTTGGACAAAAGGTTCTCCTTAGGAATGCGGTAATTGTTAAACATGACAAATCTTTGAAAAAAAAAAAAAAAGATTATTAACCTGTGGACTTCATACAAAGAAAACACACAAAAACTTACCCATTATCAATACCATTCAAGCCCACTTTCTCACCCAAATCACCCACTGTGACACCGGGATAGGCCAATAAAGTACGATCATCTCTTATGGGCACCAAAAAGGCACTTAAACCCACATAAGTATCATCCGGCACATAAAGCTGAGCATATACCACAGCATGCGTACAAGTCTTACCCAAATTACCCACCCAACATTTGGCCGCCTCAAAATCGGGTGTATGTATTATAAATTCCTGAGTCTTATTATCATATGTAGCCCGGGTACGCATACCACGAGCATTAGTACCATGAGCTATTTCTGTCAAAGCAAAAGCACCAACAATTTCTCCCCTGGCAATTTTACCCGCATATTTACTCAAACGTTCTGTACCCAATTGCAGGATGGTACTGGGGAACATACCATTCGATAGGGAGTACTTAACAGAGAAACTAAATTCATAGCTAAACATAGCCTGGGCAACGGCCAACGAGAGATGAGGAGTGGAGAGGTATTCATTTAAACCGTAAAACTGTTGGCTGTACAGTAAATGCATACGTTTGTTGGCCAATTGACGCTGACGCTCCAACGAGGGAGTTTCAGGTTCACGTTGGAAGTCGGCATGTTTTTCCATAAAGTTCCAAATACGGTGCTGGAAAGAAAGGAAGGAAAAAACGAATTTGATTAGAAATCTCTTACAGAGTTGTAGAATTTATATAGAGATAGATGGACAGAGTTAAGATAGATAGATAGATAGATAGATAGATAGATAGATAGATAGATAGATAGATAGATCGATAGATCGATAGATAGATAGATAGATAGATAGATAGATAGATAGATAGATAGATAGATAGATAGATAGATAGATAGATAGATAGATAGATAGATAGATAGATAGATAGATAGATAGATAGATAGATAGATAGATAGATAGATAGATAGATAGATAGATAGATAGATAGATAGATAGATAGATAGATAGATAGATAGATAGATAGATAGATAGATAGATAGATAGATAGATAGATAGATAGATAGATAGATAGATAGATAGATAGATAGATAGATAGATAGATAGATAGATAGATAGATGATAGATAGATAGATAGATAGATAGATAGATAGATAGATAGATAGATAGATAGATAGATAGATAGATAGATAGATAGATAGATAGATAGATAGATAGATAGATAGATAGATAGATAGATAGATTGATAGATAGATAGATAGATAGATAGATAGATAGATAGATAGATAGATAGATAGATAGATAGATAGATAGATAGATAGATAGATAGATAGATAGATAGATAGATAGATAGATAGATAGATCGATAGATAGATAGATAGATAGATAGATAGATGGATACAAGTCATCTATCCATCTATCTATCTATCTATACAAAAAAAACTGCCGCCATTCGCCAAAACAACGTCAACGAAATTGATTTAAATATTTGGGCCGAAATCCCGGCGGTACTGCAATACCGGGCCAACCCGTGACAGAGGTGGAGCAAGCCCCTAAACACTCCGTCTATTTCCAAAAATCAGTTTAACATTTGTTGTCCTCCGATGGAGGATCTATCAGATGTTAAGCTGATAAGAACAGATACTACACTTTGATCTTAGCCATAAGGCCGAGAAGCGATAACTAAACAACGCTAAAACTAAAATACTTATCTCTAAAAGTATATAAACCCAATGGGAATTATAAAGTAAAAGAAATGTTAGCAAAACAAAATAAAAAAGAAAAAATTTGAAACTACTTGTTGCTTGCTTTTACTTTTTTCAGTCATATGTTTTAGTTGTCAACCACCCCTTTCATTGGCATTTAAATGTTTAGTAAAGCATTTGTTATTGTTTTTGTTGATGTTTGCTTTAATGCTGTCATTCGTTGTTGCGGGTACATATTTAAGTGTGAGTTTAGTTAATACATAGCTGTTTTTGTAGGGTTAATCGTTTGGTTTTTAAAATAATACCCATTTAAGCAGGAAATTATTATATATTGTTAATTGTTTTAGTTTATTTATAGTTTTTAAACTGTAGGTGGTTTAGTTAATCTAATCAATTTGCTATAATCTTAAAGTATTACTACACAAATACTTAATAAATTCAAAGTGCAAATGTACTAAGCACAACTACAGTAAATGTGAAAAGTAGACGTTTATTATTAAATTTCGATTTCTAAGAAACTAAAACTTAATAGAAATTTTTTAACGATTTTAATAGATTTCAAGTAGTTTTATTAAAAAACCGAAACTAATATCATTTAAGTTACCGTTACAGCCCCCAAACATTTCATACAAATTCCCTTACTATCCTAGCAGAAACCCTATTAAACTACCCTCTAATTTATGTTTACTTTCTTTTATATGTATCAGGTAGCCATTTGGTTTTGGTTTAACATTCCTTTAGTTTTCTATTTACACTTTATTATTTCTTGGAATTCCCATTTAGTTTGTTTTGAAAATAGTATAACTGTTTCATTTTTTGCCGTTAAAATCACTCTGGCTTCTCTTCAGTTGTCGAATAAATCTTTCGCCTTTTACTAAAGATTTCCGTGGAGAGGAGCACTCTAATGAGTCTAAAATAGAATTTTTTGTGAAGCCTGAAATCCCCTTGGGGTTTTTGGGCGGTAAATAATAAATTTCAGAAAAAAAACTTTGTTGGAGAATACCAGAATCGGGGTTTCAAAAAATCGATTATTCAAACAGTTTTTAGGAGTTTCTTAATAATAAGATTTTACTAATATTTTGTTTGATTTGCTATTAAATGCTTTAAATTTTAGTACATATTAAAATTTAGTACATATGCAATTATAATTTATATTTAGTTCAAAGTCCAAAACATTTTTATACAAATTTTGTTGTTTTATACAGACTTTAACCCCATGACGTGTTCTCTCTGAATGTTTATATTAAGTCAATGAACTCGAGGAGAATCTTCTATAAAATGTATTTAAATTTTAGTTTATTTAAACAATTTAATGCTCAATTCTGCTATATGTTGGACAAAACTATTATTAACACTAATAAAACCAACGGGTATTAAAAAACCCAATAAATTTTTACTGAAAATATAAATTTTTTGTGAAAAATCGTGATTTCAGGAACATTTTTAGTAAAAAATCAGAAAATCTAATGCGCCAGACAAAATCAAATCGAACTTTTAGTACTAAAATAATAATTTTTGAAAAAAAAACTTTAGCACAAAATAAGATTTTTAGTACTAAATTGAATCTTTAGTATAAAACCAGATTTTAAGTACAAAATAGTAATTTTTGAAAAATTTTTAGTACAAAATAAAATTTTTTAAAAAAAACATAATTTTTAGTACAAAATAAGATTTTAGTACAAAATAAGATTTTAGTACAAAATAAGATTTTAGTACAAAATCAGATTTTAGTACAAAATCAGATTTTTTGGTGGAATATAAAATTTTTACTACAATATCATACTTTTTTAGAAAAAATCGGATTTTTAGCACAAAATATATAGTAGTTTTTGTAGAAAACCAGATTTTTAGCACAAAATCGATTTTAGCACAAATTTAGATTTTAATACAAAATTCAATTTTAAGCTCAAAATGGAATATTTAGTACAAAATTTGATTATCATAACAAATTCGTAATTTTAGTATAAAATCGTTTTTAGTTCAAAATTAGATATTTAGTACAAAATCGTATTTTTAGTACACAACCAAATTTTATTAATAGAAAATTGATTTTACTAAAAATCTGAATTTTTTATAAAAAAACAATTCCCTTTTTACGGGAACAATATATAATTTTAAACATTTTTTAGTTCCAATTCTATTTCCATAGAAACGCTTGGGAAAAAAGAAACTTTTGTATAGTAAGTTTTGTTATAAAATTGTGCTTAGTTTCAACTTCTGTCTCTAGTTTCCATAAAATTTTTAAAATTTCATTTTTTCCAATTCCATTTGGCATAGGAACGTTTGTGTAAATATGAAAATTTTCTAATTTTTTTTTTATAAAATTGTTGTAAAATTTATTTCTAACTGAAGTTTTATTAAAATGTTCAAGTGTTTCCTTTCCGTTTTTATAGGAACGTTTTGGAAATTTTTGGGTTTCCTAGAATTTTACTTTAATATTGTAATACAAAGAGATTCGATTTCCATCAAAATTTTGAAAATATTTAATGTTTCATTTCCATTTTTAATAGGAACGTTTTACAAATGTTTCTATTTTTGGAGATTTGTTTATAAAAAGTTTAAATGCTGATTTTGAGTTAAAAATTCAAAAAATTAATGTTTCATATTCCATTTCCATAGGAACGCTTAGAAAATTTTTGGGTTTACTAGAATTTTTTCTTTAATATTGTAATAATTTTAACAAAGAGATTTGATTTTAATTAAAATTTTGAAAATATTTAATGTTTCATTTCCATTTTTAATAGGAATGTTTCACAAAATTTCGTATTTTTGGAGATTTATTAAAAAATTTAACTAAATAACAAGTTTATGAGTTGTTTTTGAGTAAAAAGCTAAAATAAATATTTGTTTTCATTCCATTTCCCGGGGAAATGTTTAAGAAATTTTGGAATTTATATGAATTTTTCTTAAATATTATAACAATTTTAACAAAAAGATTTAATTTACAATAAGATTTCGAAATTATTTAATGTTTCATTTCCATTTTTAATAGAAACATTTTGAAAAAGTTTTCTGTTTAGGAAAATTTTGTTAAAATTTAATATAATTATATTAATATAATAATATTATTGTATCATGATCAAGATATTCAAGAGATTATATTAAAATTTACATTTTTGAAAATTTGTTAAAATTTTGATTTGAATGAGATTTTGTGATTCTCATATTACTAAATTTATCTTATTTTGTATTAATTTTTAATATTTTACTCCAACCTAAATAACCCTCAAGGTATTTTTAGTGTTAATTAGGTTAGTTTGTTTTTGTTTTGCTCTCTTCTCTTTAGTTTCATTCTTATCTGTCATTAACAAGTATTTGATAAACATTTAACTATTTATCACTTTTTCTAGATTATTGTTTTTAAAAAAATCATCAATAAAGTAAAAGTTATTAGACTTTTTGAATTAAAATTTTAATTTCCCTTTTTCTTTAGACTTTGCTTGGAACAATTGCCAAAAGATAAGCACCAACAGACGTCTGTATACACCAGACAAACTGATTAAAGTTTTATAAGCAAAAATTGAACTTAAATATATAAAAATGGACTTTGTGCTTTTAACACATTTTATTTGAAATTTTAGCAAATAATTTTCTCACTTTTCTTTAAAAATTAACACTTACCTTTAGTCTTATGTGTTCTTCACCCTCTAGCAAAACATTCATACGTTTGTAACAGAAAGAAGCCTTTTCACGATACACTTTCAAAGGTCCAGATTTGAAATCGGGAAATATCACTTTGTCTTCCAAAATATTTTGCACATCCTGGGAATCTTTTACCTCTGTGTCAGCACTAGAATTATAATATTGTTCATGCCAAAGTTTAAACATATTTAAATTAGACATTTTAGTGAAATTTGTGTGTAGTTGTCGACGCACTAAAAGTTTCCAATGTAAAGACATGTTAAATTACAAAATTTCCTATAACAACCCAAAGTCCAGGCAGAAAACAAAACAACTTTTGTTATCAAAAAGCTTTTTTGTTTTTGTTTCTATTGCATTTTACTGGCAAATTCTTTGTTTTGTTTTTTAGCTTTTAAGTGCAAAATTGTCAACACTTACTTTTCAAATTCCTTCAATTGGACCATTATTTCTGTTCTATTGCAATTCGTAGTTTTTGTTTATAGTAGTAAAAAAATGGTCAAAAGTGAACACAACCTTTTTCTTCAAAGGTTTTAACAAAACTGTGTTAAATTTGCTATTATTAAGTGTTAATATTTATTTAATACAATATCTAATCTATTTATGATTAGGATTTCAATTTTTATATCACTTATTTTAACCGGTAAGTAATCGTTGTTGTTTTTTTTCAGAACACGTCAACTTTGTCAGATATATAATACTCTTAACTGAATTTTTCAATTATATTGACAGATATTTTTCTGAATCTTACACGTTGTTTAATAGTTTTTAACTTAATAAAGTGTTTTTTGTTCAAACATTTATTATTCATTCATTGACCTGTTCAATTTAGTTAAATTTGTTGGCTTTGTTTTGTTATTTTCTTTCGTTTGTTATAAGTTGCTCTCTCAAACAGCTGTTTGGTCAGTGTTTCTCAGTGTATTTATTTTTAACGTCATATTAGAGTTGCCAGAATTATGCGGCAGGTTTACAACCAAATTTGTGGTTAAAAATACATCGGCCATTGTCTTCTTTATTAATAACTCGGTCATTTTTAAACCTTTAGAATCAAAATTTTATGGAAATTTTGAAAATATTTTTACAAATGTGTTATATGTAACACAGAGATGGAATATTGAAATTTTGAACTAACAACAAAAATAGTACTTTTAAGGTTTTAAAGTACTAAACTAATTTTCGTCTAGACCATAGACTAGACTACCGACTAGACTATAGGATGGACTATAGGCATGGTGCGTTTTCAAACTTATAAATTTGTGATAAGTAGTCCGCATAGTACTCAATAGATCGGTCTGTAGTCTAATCTATAGTGTAGTTTATAGTCTAGTCTTCAATTTAATAATTTTGTTAAATGTTCCTATGCAAATGGAATTGAAACATTTAAGTTTTTGCGAAGTTATGTTTAGAAATTTTAATTTAATTGAAATTTGTTATAAAAATTTAAAAAAAAATAATTTTTTCCAGAAATTCCTATAAGAATGGAATTGAAACATTATAAATTTTGAAAAGTTTATAAAAATTATAATTAGAAATTAAAATTGATCTCAATTCAATAATAAAATATATAAAAAATTCATTTTTTACCAAACGTTCCTATCAAAATGAAATTGAAACATAATAAATTTTGTGAAATTTGATTGAAATTATGATTAGAAATAAGAATTGAATACAATTTTATAACAAAATCTTCTTAGATGTTATTTTCACCAAACGTTCCTATGAAAATGGAACTGAAACATTATAAAGTTATAGAACTTTATAGAAAATTGTCATAAGAATATAAAATTTATCTCAATTTTGTAATAATTTTGAGACAAAATTAATATTTTTCTAAACGTTCCTATGCAAATGGAATTGAAACATTTTAAATTTTGGAAATTTTATTGAAATTATATTTAGAAATTAAGAAAGATTAAAATTTGGTCATAAGATTGGGAAAAATTTAGTAATTTTTTAACGTTCCTATGAAAATGGAATTGAAACAGTGTAATTTTTACCATATTCCACTAAAAATTGTTCAGGATTTTTGTTATTAACTTTAATTCCTATGAAAATGGAATTGAAACAAAGTAATTGTTACCTTATTTCACTAAAAATCGCCAAGGAATCTTGTTATATTTTCAATTTGTACTAAATTGAGAAAAATTAAATAAAAATACTGAAGTTCCTACACAAAATGGAAATGAAACAAAAAAATTTCCTCTAACAATTCGATTATTCCTATGATAATGGAATTGAAACATTATACATTTTGGAAATTTAATTGAAATTATGATAAGAAATAGGAATTAAATTTTTTTATACATTTTTGACAAATGTTATGTTTTTCAAAACATTCTTATGAGAATGGAATTGAAACATTTTAAATTTTGAAAATTTTATAAAAGTTTTATTTAGAAATTATTATTACATAGAATTATGTAATAAAATTGAGAATAAAATTACTTTTTTCTAAACGTTCCTATGAGAATGGAATTGAAACATTGTAAATTTTCCACAATTCATTAAAATTACGATTAGAAATTTAACATCAACAGAATTTTGTAATAAAATTTAGCAAAATTTAGTGTTTTTCTTAACGTTCCTATGAAAATGGAATTGAAACAAAATAATTTTAACCTATTTTCACCAAAAATCATCAAGAAATATTGCTATTGGTTTCATTTTGTAATTATATGGTGAAAATTTTAATAAAAATTTCAACGTTCCTATAAAAAATGGAAATGAAACACAATGTTTTCCATTAAACACCCTTTATTTACCTCAAAAGTGTTCCCAATTTACTAGTATTTGAATTAAAACATCAATTTTTTTGGTTTTTTATTCGGTTTTTTTTTATAATTTATTACTTATACACTTAATTAACATGAAACATTTGATTAAAATTTTCTTAAATGTTATTTATATGTTTATCAATTTGCTATAGTAATTATGTTTTTTGTTTTACTAAACTTTGTTTACTCTTATGTGGTACATAATTTAAACATTTTAGAGAAAGTATAATTAATAGTTAAATGAGTTTTTTTGTTTTATAAATAACTGCTTTGTTTAATAAGTTAATACAAGTTTTGTAATAATTTATATAAATATTTTATATATAATTTTTTATAGTTTATATAAAATCTATTTGAAATTGAGATTTAGTTTATTTAAAGCAACTTACTAAAAGTATCAGCAACTTAAAAGGAAAAACTATAGTTTAGTTAAAATGTTTTAATTGTTTTGTTATTTTTTATATAAAAATTTTTTTATAAAAAGCTTAAAAAAAGTAATTTCTTTAAAAAAAGGCCATGCAAAAAACTTTATAATTTCTTATTTTTTAATTGTTATATAATTTGTTTTAAAAGCTTGTTTATTTAAACAATTGACCTTTACAAAAAATATGTTCTTTTAAAATTCAATTTACAACCATTTACAAATGGAATTTTTATGTTTATTTTTTAACAATTTATTGTTTTTTTTTTTTATAGATTTTTGTGAGTGTAGCTTTTGGTCTTTTGTGTGTTTTAAGGGTTATTGGCAATTTTAAACTTATTTAGCTTGGGTTTTGTTAATTAAACATTTTAAAATAAATCACATTTCTTAAAATTATAAAATAAAAACTTAATTCAGACTTTTTTCTATTAAAGTCCCTGAATTGAGCTGATGTTCGTCTGGCATTTGTGTTAAATCATAGGCGCCATTATCCTGATTTGCCGCATTAGCCTCATATCATCGACTTTGGCAAGAACTGGCCGCTGAATTTGAAGAGAAACCGGATTGTAAACTGGTCATGGAGCCACGATAATTGGCTGAACTTAATACTTCATAGAAATAGTTGAGTTGGGCTGCACCCTCAGAGCTGCAGCTGGGACTGAACCAGTGTAAAACATAATTGTCTTTGTGATTCATAACATGGGAGCCCTGGTGGAAACAAACATTGTAAACCAAATCTTTCTATCCAAAATATAATTCCTTACCTGTACACTTTCTTTATTGTGACATATTAAACTGGGTTCTTCTTTGAAATAGTTGACACCCTCTTGATAATCTCCCGAATCAAAGAAGGAAACCGCTAAATCTATAAAAAAATACAACAAAACCATCAATCCAGTCCTTTTCCCTTTATTCCTTTGCCTTCTTCTACTTACCATTCTTCTCGGGCAAATCTTTGGTCACTCGATATAATGTGAAATGTAAATCACTGCGCAATACATCAAAATCCCAAGTTAAAACACTCTTGGGATCGCTATTCTTTATTACGACCTCATGTGTATAGCCGGTTTTCAATTCCACCGTTTTATAAAGATTTTGATGTAAATGTTGTTTTGCGCCTAAAGCACTATTGCTACCTTTTGCACTATTGGCTTCCGCATCATTATGATCATCCTCCTCCTCCAGAGAGCCCATTTTATATAAAGTTTTAGGCACCAAACTGCCTTCATGGATAAGGGTCTAAATGGATAAGAAAAACAGAAATGTTAATGATTTTATTTAACTTATTAAAAGTTTAAATTAGAGCTTTGCCTAAGTGAAGCTTTAGCTAAAGACGAGCTTTTACAGCTAGACATTATTCAGACAATCTAATGAAACGATACAAATGTAGACAAACAAATACAAAGTTCATTTCGCAAGTTTAAATAGTCCAGCTTTAGTTCAGTTTCATTTGTTCTGTTCTAGTTCTGTTTTAGTTCTGTTTAGTTCTGTTTTAGTTCTGTTCTAGTTCTGTTCTAGTTCTGTTCTAGTTCTGTTCTAGTTCTGTTCTAGTTCTGTTCTAGTTCTGTTTTAGTTCTGTTTAGTTCTGTTCTAGTTCTGTTCTAGTTCTGTTTTAGTTCTGTTTTAGTTCTGTTCTAGTTCTGTTCTGTTCTAGTTCTGTTCTAGTTCTGTTCTAGTTCTGTTCTAGTTCTGTTCTAGTTGTGTTCTAGTTCTGTTCTAGTTCTGTTCTAGTTCTGTTCTAGTTCTGTTCTAGTTCTGTTCTAGTTCTGTTCTAGTTCTGTTCTAGTTCTGTTCTAGTTCTGTTCTAGTTCTGTTCTAGTTCTGTTCTGTTCTAGTTCTGTTCTAGTTCTGTTCTAGTTCTGTTCTAGTTCTGCTCTAGTTCTGTTCTAGTTCTGTTCTAGTTATGTTCTAGTTCTGTTCTAGTTCTGTTTTAGTTCTGTTCTAGTTCTGTTCTAGTTCTGTTCTAGTTCTGTTCTAATTCTTTTCTAGTTCTGTTTTAGTTCTGTTTTAGTTCTGTTCTAGTTATGTTCTAGTTCTGTTCTAGTTCTATTCTAGTTCTGTTCTAGTTCTGTTCTAGTTCTGTTCTAGTTCTGTTCTAGTTCTGTTCTAATTCTTTTCTAGTTCTGTTTTAGTTCTGTTTTAGTTCTGTTCTAGTTCTGTTCTAGTTCTGTTCTAGTTCTGTTTTAGTTCTGTTTTAGTTCTGTTCTAGTTCTGTTCTAGTTCTGTTTTAGTTCTGTTTTAGTTCTGTTCTAGTTCTGTTCTAGTTCTATTCTAGTTCTGTTCTAGTTCTGTTCTAGTTCTGTTCTAGTTCTGTTCTAGTTCTGTTCTAGTTCTGTTCTAGTTCTGTTCTAGTTCTGTTCTAGTTCTGTTCTAGTTCTGTTCTAGTTCTGTTCTAGTTCTGTTCTAGTTCTGTTCTAGTTCTGTTCTAGTTCTGTTCTAGTTCTTCTAGTTCTGTTCTAGTTCTGTTCTAGTTCTGTTCTAGTTCTGTATTCGAGTTCTGTGCTAGTTCTGTTCTAGTTCTGTTCTAGTTCTTTCTAGTCTGTTTCTAGTTCTGTTCTAGTTCTGTTCTAGTTCTGTTCTGTTCTAGTTCTGTTCTAGTTCTGTTCTAGTTCTGCTCTAGTTCTGTTCTAGTTTCTGTTCTAGTTATGTTCTAGTTCTGTTCTAGTTCTGTTCTAGTTCTGTTTATTTCTGTTCTAGTTCTGTTTCTAGTTCTGTTCTAGTTTCTGTTCTAATTTTTTCTAGTTCTGTTTAGTTCTGGTTTAGTTCTGTTCTAGTTCTGTTCTAGTTCTATTCTAGTTCTGTTTCTAGTGTCTGTTCTAGTTCTGTTCTAGTTCTGTTCTAGTTCTGTTCTAGTTCTGTTCTAGTTCTGTTCTAGTTCTGTTCTAGTTCTGTTCGTAGTTCTGTTCGAGTTCTGTTCTAGTTCTGTTCTAGTTCTGTTCTAGTTCTGTCTAGTCTGTTCTAGTTCTGTGCTAGTTCTGTGCTAATTCTGTTCTAGTTCTGTTCTAGTTCTGTTCTAGTTCTGTTCTAGTTTTGTTCTAGTTCTGTTCTAGTTCTGTTCTAGTTCTGTTCTAGTTCTGTACTAGTTATGTTCTAGTTCTGTTCTAGTTCTGTTCTAGTTCTGTTCTAGTTCTGTTCTAGTTCTGTTCTAGTTCTGTTCTAGTTCTGTTCTGTTCTAGTTCTGTTCTAGTTCTGTTCTAGTTCTATTCTAGTTCTGTTCTAGTTCTGTTCTAGTTCTGTTCTAGTTCTGTTCTAGTTCTGTTCTAGTTCTGTTCTAGTTCTGTTCTAGTTCTGTTCTAGTTCTGTTCTAGTTCTGTTCTAGTTTCTGTTCTAGTTCTATTCTAGTTCTGTTTCTAGTTTTGTTCTAGTTCTGTTCTAGTTCCGTTCTAGTTCTGCTCTAGTTCTGTTCTAGTTCTTTTCTAGTTCTGTTCTAGTTCTATTCTAGTTTTGTTCTAGTTCTGTTCTAGTTCTAGTTCTGTTCTAGTTCTGTTCTAGTTCTGTTCTAGTTCTGTTCTAGTTCTGTTCTAGTTCTGTTCTACTTCTGTTCTAGTTCTGTTCTAGTTCTGTACTAGTTATGTTCTAGTTCTGTTCTAGTTCTGTTCTAGTTCTGTTCTAGTTCTGTTCTAGTTCTGTTCTAGTTCTGTTCTAGTTCTGTTCTAGTTCTGTTCTAGTTCTGTTCTAGTTCTGTTCTAGTTCTGTTCTAGTTCTGTTCTAGTTCTGTTCTAGTTCTGTTCTAGTTCTGTTCTAGTTCTGTTCTAGTTCTGTTCTAGTTCTGTTCTAGTTCTGTTCTAGTTCTGTTCTAGTTCTGTTCTAGTTCTGTTCTAGTTCTGTTCTAGTTCTGTTCTAGTTCTGTTCTAGTTCTGTTCTAGTTCTGTTCTAGTTCTGTTCTAGTTCTGTTCTAGTTCTGTTCTAGTTCTGTTCTAGTTCTGTTCTAGTTCTGTTCTAGTTCTGTTCTAGCTCTGTTCTAGTTCTGTTCTAGTTTCTGTTCTAGTTCTGTTCTAGTTCTGTTTAGTCCAGTAGTTCTGTTCTAGTTCTGTTCTAGTTCTGTTCTAGTTCTGTTCTAGTTCTGTTCTAGTTCTGTTCCTAGTTCTGTTCTAGTTCTGTTCTAGTTTCTGTTCTAGTTCTGTTCTAGTTCTGTTTCAGTTTCTAGTTCTGTTCTAGTTCTGTTTTAGTTCTGTTCTAGTTCTGTTCTAGTTCTGTTCTAGTTCTGTTCTAGTTCTGTTTTAGTTTCTGTTTTAGTTCTGTTCTAGTTCTGTCCTAGTTCTGTTTTAGTTCTGTTCTAGTTCTGTTCTAGTTCTGTTCTAGCTCTGTTCTAGTTCTTTTCTAGTTCGTTCTAGTTCTGTTCTAGTTCCTGTTTCTAGTTCTGTTCTAAGTTCTGTTCTAGTTCTGTTCTAGTTCTGTTCTAGTTCTGTTCTAGTTCTGTTCTAGTTCTGTTCTAGTTCTGTTCTAGTTCTGTTCTAGTTCTGTTCTAGTTCTGTTCTAGTTCTGTTCTAGTTCTGTTCTAGTTTGTTCTAGTTCTGTTCTAGTTCTAGTTCTGTTCTAGTTTGTTCTAGTTCTGTTCTAGTTCTAGTTCTGTTCTAGTTCTGTTCTAGTTCTGTACTAGTTATGTTCTAGTTCTGTTCTAGTTCTGTTCTAGTTCTGTTTCTAGTTCTGTTCTAGTTCTGTTTTAGTTCTGTTTTAGTTCTGTTCTAGTTCTGTCCTAGTTCTGTTTCTAGTTCTGTTCTAGTTCTGTTCTAGTTCTGTTCTAGTTCTGTTCTAGTTCTTTCTAGTTCAGTTCTAGTTCTGTTCTAGTTCTGTTCTAGTTCTGTTCTAGTTCTGTTCTAGTTCTGTTCTAGTTCTGTTCTAGTTCTGTTCTAGTTCTGTTCTAGTTCTGTTCTAGTTCTGTTCTAGTTCTGTTCTAGTTCTGTTCTAGTTCTGTTCTAGTTCTGTTCTAGTTCTGTTCTAGTTCTGTTCTAGTTCTGTTCTAGTTCTGTTCTAGTTCTGTTCTAGTTCTGTTCTAGTTCTGTTCTAGTTCTGTTCTAGTTCTGCTCTAGTTCTGTTCTAGTTCTGTTCTAGTTCTGTTCTAGTTCTGTTCTATGTTCTTCTAGTTCTGTTCTAGTTCTGTTCTAGTTCTGTTCTAGTTCTGTTCTAGTTCTGTTCTAGTTCTGTTCTAGTTCTGTTCTAGTTCTGTTCTAGTTCTGTTCTAGTTCTGTTCTAGTTCTGTTCTAGGTCTGTTCTAGTTCTGTTCTAGTTCTGTTCTAGTTCTGTTCTAGTTCTGTTCTAGTTCTGTTCTAGTTCTGTTCTAGTTCTGTTCTGTTCTAGTTCTGTTCTGTTCTAGTTCTGTTCTAGTTCTGTTCTAGTTCTGTTCTAGTTCTGTTCTAGTTCTGTTCTAGTTCTGTTCTAGTTCTGTTCTAGTTCTGTTCTAGTTCTGTTCTAGTTCTGTTCTAGTTCTGTTCTAGTTCTGTTCTAGTTCTGTTCTAGTTCTGTTCTAGTTCTGTTCTAGTTCTGTTCTAGTTCTGTTCTAGTTCTGCTCTAGTTCTGTTCTAGTTCGTTCTAGTTCTGTTCTAGTTCTGTTCTAGTTCTGTTCTAGTTCTGTTGTAGTTCTGTTCTAGTTCTGTTCTAGTTCTGTTCTAGTTCTGTTCTAGTTCTGTTCTAGTTCTGTTCTAGTTCTGTTCTAGTTCTGTTCTAGTTCTGTTCTAGTTCTGTTCTAGTTCTGTTCTAGTTGTTCTAGTTCTGTTCTAGTTCTGTTTAGTTCTGTTCTAGTTCTGTTCTAGTTCTGTTCTAGTTCTGTTCTAGCTCTGTTCTAGTTCTGTTCTAGTTCTGTTCTAGTTCTGTTCTAGTTCTGTTCCAGTTCTGTTCTAGTTCTGTTCGTTCTGTTCTAGTTCTGTTCTAGTTCTGTTCTAGTTCTGTTCTAGTTCTGTTCTAGTTCTGTTCTAGTTCTAGTTCTGTTCTAGTTCTGTTCTAGTTCTGTTCAGTTCTAGTTCTGTTCTAGTTCTGTTTTAGTTTCTGTTCTAGTTCTGTTCTAGTTCTGTTCTAGTTCTGTTCTAGTTCTGTTCTAGTTCTGTTCTAGTTCTGTTTTAGTTCTGTTTTAGTTCTGTTCTAGTTCTGTCCTAGTTCTGTTTTAGTTCTGTTCTAGTTCTGTTCTAGTTCTGTTCTAGTTCTGTTCTAGTTCTGTTCTAGTTCTTTTCTAGTTCAGTTCTAGTTCTGTTCTAGTTCTGTTCTAGTTCTGTTCTAGTTCTGTTCTAGTTCTGTTCTAGTTCTGTTCTAGTTCTGTTCTAGTTCTGTTTTAGTTCTGTTCTAGTTCTGTTCTAGTTCTGTTCTAGTTCTGTTCTAGTTCTGTTCTAGTTCTGTTCTAGTTCTGTTCTAGTTTTGTTCTAGTTCTGTTCTAGTTCTAGTTCTGTTCTAGTTTTGTTCTAGTTCTGTTCTAGTTCTAGTTCTGTTCTAGTTCTGTACTAGTTATGTTCTAGTTCTGTTCTAGTTCTGTTCTAGTTCTGTTCTAGTTCTGTTTTAGTTCTGTTTTAGTTCTGTTCTAGTTTCTGTCCTAGTTCTGTTTTAGTTCTGTTCTAGTTCTGTTCTAGTTCTGTTCTAGTTCTGTTCTAGTTCTTTTCTAGTTCAGTTCTAGTTCTGTTCTAGTTCTGTTCTAGTTCTGTTCTAGTTCTGTTCTAGTTCTGTTCTAGTTCTGTTCTAGTTCTGTTCTAGTTCTGTTCTAGTTCTGTTCTAGTTCTGTTCTAGTTCTGTTCTAGTTCTGTTCTAGTTCTGTTCTAGTTTTGTTCTAGTTCTGTTCTAGTTCTAGTTCTGTTCTAGTTTTGTTCTAGTTCTGTTCTAGTTTCTGTTCTAGTTCTGTACTAGTTATGTTCTAGTTCTGTTCTAGTTCTGTTCTAGTTCTGTTCTAGTTCTGTTTTAGTTCTGTTTTAGTTCTGTTCTAGTTCTGTCCTAGTTCTGTTTTAGTTCTGTTCTAGTTCTGTTCTAGTTCTAGTTCTGTTCTAGTTCTGTTCTAGTTCTGTACTAGTTATGTTCTAGTTCTGTTCTAGTTCTGTTCTAGTTCTGTTCTAGTTCTGTTTTAGTTCTGTTTTAGTTCTGTTCTAGTTCTGTCCTAGTTCTGTTCTAGTTCTGTTCTAGTTCTGTTCTAGTTCTGTTCTAGTTCTGTTCTAGTTCTTTTCTAGTTCAGTTCTAGTTCTGTTCTAGTTCTGTTCTAGTTCTGTTCTAGTTCTGTTCTAGTTCTGTTCTAGTTCTGTTCTAGTTCTGTTCTAGTTCTGTTTTAGTTCTGTTCTAGTTCTGTTCTAGTTCTGTTCTAGTTCTGTTCTAGTTCTGTTCTAGTTTTGTTCTAGTTCTGTTCTAGTTCTAGTTCTGTTCTAGTTTTGTTCTAGTTCTGTTCTAGTTCTAGTTCTGTTCTAGTTCTGTTCTAGTTCTGTACTAGTTATGTTCTAGTTCTGTTCTAGTTCTGTTCTAGTTCTGTTCTAGTTCTGTTTAGTTCTGTTTTAGTTCTGTTCTAGTTCTGTTCTAGTTCTGTCCTAGTTCTGTTTAGTTCTGTTCTAGTTCTGTTCTAGTTCTGTTCTAGTTCTGTTCTAGTTCTGTTTTAGTTCTGTTCTAGTTCTGTCCTAGTTCTGTTTTAGTTCTGTTCTAGTTCTGTTCTAGTTCTGTTCCTAGTTCTGTTCTAGTTCTTTTCTAGTTCAGTTCTAGTTCTGTTCTAGTTCTGTTCTAGTTCTGTTCTAGTTCTGTTCTAGTTCTGTTCTAGTTCTGTTCTAGTTCTGTTCTAGTTCTGTTCTAGTTCTGTTCTAGTTCTGTTCTAGTTCTGTTCTAGTTCTGTTCTAGTTCCTGTTCTAGTTCTGTTCTAGTTCTGTTCTAGTTCTGTTCTAGTTCTGCTCTAGTTCTGTTTCTAGTTCTGTTCTAGTTCTGTTCTAGTTCTGTTCCAGTTCTGTTCAGTTCTGTTCTAGTTCTGTTTCTAGTTCTGTTCTAGTTCTGTTCTAGTTCTGTTCTAGTTCTTTCGTTCTAGTTCTGTTCTAGTTCTGTTCTAGTTCTGTTCTAGTTCTTTTCTAGTTTCTGTTCTAGTTCTTTCTAGTTCTGTTCTAGTTCTGTTCTAGTTCTATTCTAGTTCTGTTCTAGTTCTGTTCTAGTTCTGTTCTAGTTCTGTTGTAGTTCTGTTCTAGTTCTGTTCTAGTTCTGTTCTAGTTCTGTTCTAGTTCTGTTCTAGTTCTGTTCTAGTTCTGTTCTAGTTCTGTTCTAGTTCTGTTTTGTTCTGTTCTATTCTAGTTCTAGTTATATCGTGAGCAAAAGCAATAGTGGAAATTTGGACTAAAACAACAAAAGCTCTTTATTGTTTTTCTAAAAGTTTCGATACAACTTTTACAATTTTTATGTGAGTGGACCTTTAAAAGGTTTTGTTTGAAACACCACACATTTTCGAATTGAAATTCGATTCGAGAAAAAAGACAATATTGAGACAAATTGCGACATAAACCTGATGTGAAATGATCTTTCTAAATAGACATAAAGAAAAATAAAACTTAATGTTTAGTTCTAGTATTATTCTAATTTACCGATTTCACAAATTATACATAACTTTACAAAATCAACATTTAACAAACAAAAAACAATTAAAATCATTTCTAATAGCCTTCTTACACAATCGCATTTAGCTAAATAGCAATATATAAAATATTTAGGATTTATCTGATCCACATACAACAATGGAAACAGAGTTGTCTTTTATTTCAAGTTTAATTTCGGATACCAAATAAAGTGGGAATAAAGAAAATTAGTTTTAATTAAAAGAAATTATTTACATAATTTTAAGAAGAATTACAAAAAAAAAATATTTACAATTTTAAGAGGAGTTTATTAATAAAACTTACCTTGCAAGAGCCACCCAAGAACTCGGGTATGATGTCTTTATCTATATATTGTTCTAGACCATCGGGCATGTGTAAACAATCGGGACCGCCATAGAAAAGAAATTTCGAGCGGGTATTTTCGTCTGTTTAGGAAAACGGAAATAGTTTAAATTTTTCTTTACAAAAGAGTCAAGTTTAGAGTTAAAACAAACCTATAAAAGCGGATACTATAGTCCAGGCTATGGGGAAAACTCTAGGGGCTCTGACCACCAACACACGACCCATAGTTTCGGGATAATTACGTTCAACATTTTCGATTATATTAAGTAAAGCTTTAACACCAGGACGCCATAAATGTCTCATAGAAAGACCTTCCAAATCCACTAATAACACCAGTCCAAAATGGGTTTACCCAAATTTTCAGCCGATTCATTGATTTTCTCTATGCCCTCCTCGCAAATGTGTAGGGCCTTAAGAAAAAATTTGGAAATAAAGGAAATGATTTAACATGACACTCAATCAGATGTTTAACTCACCAATTTTAATAAACCTTCCGAGCCTATTGCCTTTAACAAACCCTTAACATCCATGTGACCCAAACGCAAAATATAAATAGGTCTGCCGTCCTTATCATAATGATGCCAACCACCTGGAAAATGTTCCGTTACCACTGAGGGCGTTTTATAATCCTTTAACAGAGAATCTATATTATTTTCCTGTCGCCATTTCAAAGAATCCCTCAACATATTAAAAGCTTGATTAACATGCCAATCACGGGCTCTCAGGAATCTCAAAATTGTCTGATAATTTGGCATTTTTTCTAAATCTTCGATTTCATCTAGCAATTTTCTCAGTTCCAATAGTTTAGATTCCTGCATGGGTGTCAATTGACCCAAATGTTTAGCAATAAAATCGCCATCTAATAATATATCATGTGAAGAATTATTTTTATCCATTTGCTCTTTTTCCTCCTCTTCACGCGATTTGGGCGATAAAGGAGCATCGGGTGGCGGCTGCCATCTTTCTACTTCAGTAACACCCTCCTCCTTTAGTTGTTCTATGAAAAACTCTATAATCTCTTTACCTTTGAGGGTTGTTTGGGTATATTGTTTCATGCCCATTTTCTCCATGGAATGTTCAAAACCGAAAAAATTCTTTATATCTAAAGTGGCAGTTTGATCAAAACACGTCCAATCCGGATTATCCGGATGGGCATAGTAACGACATCTTTCAAAAATCTCAATGCGTGAAGAAAAACTTTCATTTGTAGCCTCGATACTTAACGTACGATTGGCCAAATCCAGATAATTATGTTGTATAAAATAGACCACATCCACGCCTATTAATTTCTTGAAAATATAGGGAGCATCTACGGCTAGTTTGCAACGTCTGCTGGTATTACGTTTAGCGCCATTTTCTAAAATTTCATCTTTTGTTATTTCACAATCGAGAACTATGGGCATTTGAGGGCAGGTGGGAAAACGTTTTTCATAGGCCTGTAAAAAAGGGGGAAAATAGGTCATTAAGTAAAATTTTCTTGAAAATTTTGAAGTAAAATATTAAGAGATCTTCATATATAAAGTAACAGCTGGATTTCTATAGCCTAGACTGTAGGCTTGTCAATAGTCTGTAGTGTATATTATAGTTTTGTCCATAGTCTGGATTATAGTCTATAGTCTTGACTATAGCTTGGACTATACTCTGGACTATAGCTTGGACTATAGTCTGGACCATAGTCAGGACTATGGTCTAGCCTCTAAAGACTATATAAAGTAAAAGCTCGGTTTCTAAAGCCTAGTCTGTAGGCTTGTCAATAGTTTGTAGTGTGGATTATAGTCTAGTCCATAGCCTGACTTATAGTCTGGACTATAATCTGTTCTATATTCTGGACTATAGTCTATTCTATAGTCTGGAGTATAGTCTAGTCTGGACTGCAGTATAGTCTTGTCTGGACTGTAGTCTAGTCCTTAGTCTGGACTGTAGTCTGGTCTACAGTCTGGACTACAGTCTAATCTTTAGTCTGGATTATAGTCTAGTCCATAGTCTAGTTTATATTCTGGACTATAGTCTAGTCTATATTCTGGACTATAGTCTAGTCCTTAGTCTGGACTGTTGTCTAGTCTATAGTCTGGACTACAGTCCAACTATAATCCAGACTAAAGGTCTGGATTATAGTCTAGTCCATAGTCTGGTTAATATTCTGGACTATAGTCTAGTCTATAATCTGGACTATAGTCTAGTCTATAATCTGGACTATAGTCTAGTCTATAGCTTTTTCTTTAAACTGTTCAGACAATAGTACAGACTATAATCTGCGGTCTGAACTTAAAATTACGATTTTTTTATATGTTACGGCCCACTGTTTGTATATTAGAATGACTGTGTAAATTGTATGAAATTGAATTTTTCATTATTCAATATTTTTAGAATGACTTGCTTAATTCTAAAATAGAATCATGTATTTGTTTATATTGAAAATAAAATAACATTGAAAAGAATTGTTTAAAATTCCAAAAGGGTAGTGAAAAAGTATGTATAATATTTAGTTATCTGCACGCAAATAGAAGATTTGAATATGAAAAGCTTTAAGAATTTTTTTGAAATATCGGTCGTAAAACGATCTAGTTTACGGACGTATACTCTATCTGTCGAAAATTTTTATGGAGATTTTTTGAAATCACCTCCTATGTTTCCACCCTATTACCATTTGTATTATTTACTCAGTTCAGCCCCATTTTTAAGTGTAATTTTATTTATTCGATATACTTTCCATTATTGTTTTCCACTTAAAGTAATGTGATAAGTCTTATTTAATGCCATTGAAGAAAAAGCTCCTACAGGGTTAGGTGAAGGACATTTTCATAATTTATTTTTCACTTTTTCAAAATAAATTCAACAGCAAAGACGGCGACTAACCACAGCTACTTGTTCTTGAGAAAATGTCATAAAACATAGAAAAAATATATATAATAAAAAATAGGAATTTTAAAAGAAGATTTATTTCAAAGTTTCAGAAGAAATGGAATGAAGTTGGGTAACCCGTAGGGCTAGTTGGTAGTCTGTTAGTGTTGTGGTTGTGGGATAGATAGATAGATAGATGATAGATAGATAGATAGATAGATAGATAGATAGATAGATAGATCAGATAGATAGATAGACTAGATCGATAGATAGATAGATAGATAGATAGATAGATAGATAGATAGATAGATAGATAGATAGATCGATAGATAGCTAGCTAGATAGCTCGCTCGATAGCTAGCTCGCTAGCTATCGCTAGCTGCTAGTAGATCAGATCGCTCGCTCGTCGTCGCTCGCTCGCTCGCTCGCTCGCTCTCTCGCTGCTCGCTCGCTCGCTCGCTCTCGCTCGCTCGCTCGCTCGCTCGCTCGCTCGCTCGCTCTCTCGCTCGCTCGCTCGCTCGCCCTCGCTCGCTCGCTCGCTCGCTCGCTCGCTCGCTCGCTGCTCGCTCGCTCGCTCGCTCGCTCTCTCTCTCGCTCGCTCGCTCGCTCGCTCGCTCGCTCGCTCGCTCGCTCGCTCGCTCGCTCGCTCGCTCGCTCGCTCGCTCGCTCGCTCGCTCGCTCGCTCCTCGCTCGCTCGCTCGCTCGCTCGCTCGCTCGCTCGCTCCTCGCTCGCTCGCTCGCTCGCTCGCTCGCTCGCTCGCTCGCTCGCTCGCTCGCTCCTCGCTCGCTCGCCGCTCCTCGCTCGCTCGCTCGCTCGCTCGCTCGCTCGCTCGCTCGCTCGCTCGCTCGCTCGCTCGCTCGCTTCGCTCGCTCGCCTCTCGCTCGCTCGCTCGCTCGCTCGCTCAGCTCGCTCCTGCTCGCTCGCTCGCTCGCTCCTCGCTCGCTCGCTCGCTCGCTCGCTCGCTCGCTCGCTCGCTCTCTCGCTCGCTCTCGCTCGCTACCTCGCTCGCTCGCTCGCTCGCTCGCATCGCTCGCTCGCTCGCTCGCTCGCCCTCGCTCGCTCGCTCGCTCGCTCGCTCGCTCGCTCGCTCGCTCGCTCGCTCGCTCGCTCGCCTCGCTCGCTCGCTCGCTCGCTCGCTCGCTCGCTCGCTAGCTCGCTCGCTCAGCTCGCTCGCTACTCGCTCGCTCGCTCGCTCGCTCGCTCGCTCGCTCAGCTCGCTCGCTCGCTCGCTGCTCGCTCGCTCGCTAGCTCGCTCGCTCGCTCGCTCGCTCGCTCCGCTCGCTCGCTCCTCGCTCGCTCCTCGCTCGCTCGCTCGCTCGCTCGCTCGCTCGCTCGCTCGCTCCTCGCTCCTCGCTCGCTCGCTCGCTCGCTCCGCTCGCTCGCTCGCTCCGCTCCGCTCGCTCAGCTCGCTCGCTCGCTCGCTGCTCGCTCGCTCGCTCGCTCGCTCGCTCGCTGCTCTCGGCTCGCTCGCTCGCTCGCTCGCTCGCTCGCTCGCCTCGCTCGCTCGCTCGCTCGCTCGCTCGCTCGCTCGCTCGCTCGCTCGCTCGCTCGCTCGCTCGCTCGCTGCTCGCTCGCTCGCTCGCTCGCTCGCTCGCTCGCTCCTCGCTCGCTCGCTCGCTCGCTCGCTCGCTCGCTGCTCGCTCGCTCGCTCGCTCGCTCGCTCGCTCGCTCGCTCGCTCGCTCGCTCGCTCGCTCGCTCGCTCGCTCGCTCGCTCGCTCGCTCGCTCCGCTCGCTCGCTCGCTCGCTCGCTCGCTCGCTCGCTCTCGCTCGCTCGCTGCTCGCTCGCTCGCTCGCTCGCTCGCTCGCTCGCTCGCTCGCTCGCTCGCTCGCTCGCTCCTCGCTCGCTCGCTCGCTCGCTCTCGCTCGCTCGCTCGCTCGCTCGCTGCTCGCTCGCTCGCTCGCTCGCTCGCTCGCTCTCTGCTCGCTCGCTCGCTCGCTCGCTCTCTCGCTCGCTCGCTCGCTCGCTCGCTCTCTCGCTCGCTGCTCGTCCTCGCTCGCTCGCTCGCTCGCTCGCTCGCTCGCTCGCTCGCTCGCTCGCTGCTCGCTCGCTCGCTCGCTCGCTCGCTCGCTCGCTCGCTCGCTCGCTCGCTCGCTCGCTCGCTCGCTCGCTCGCTCGCTCGCTCGCTCCTCGCTCCCTCGCTCGCTCGCTCGCTCGCTCGCTCGCTCCTCGCTCGCTTGCTCGCTTGCTCGCTTGCTCGCTTGCTCGCTTGCTCGCTGCTCGCTGCTCGCTTGCTCTTGCTCGCTTTGCTCGCTTGCTCGCTTGCTATGCTATTGCTCTCTTTTCCCACCGCCTCGCTTCCCCTTCCTCTTCCTCCTCTGGGCCTGTTCCAGCTGTTTTCCTGGCTTGTTCTTGTCCACTCTGCCCTTTACCTACTCGCCCACTTTTTTTCTTTCCTCATTTACCCTACTTACCATTTTCAGCTGTAATCCAGTCTAAACTCTTCACATTTATTTTAAACCCATTTCTTACAACAGACCTAGTTTGAAGAAAAAAAAATCAATAACAAAACACTACAACACTAACTTATAAATAACAAATTTAACTTTTAATTATTTGAATATTTAATATTAAAATAAATACTAAATATGTTAACCTCCAAACTAAACCACTATAAAAGTACTTGAGGTTAACTCTTACCCTAACCCTCTGAGACCCCTTTAACTTAAGTATAAATAAACCATTAAAAATAGTATCCAAAACAAAAAAACCCTCATACCAAAAGTCAAGGCTGTTTTGATGCCTCACAATATCTTTATCATGAAGAACCACTAACAAGTAATGTAACCTGCAACATTTTCGTATAAACATTAAAAAAAAACTAAATAATTAATTAAAATCAAGTTATCTATACATACATATGTCTTTTGATATGGGGAACAAATGACCTGGAAAAGATTACAACCCTTACCACTATTACATATGTACTTATTTATAATAGTTAAATGGTTTTAACTATTATACCGAGATTTTTCCTACCGAGCGCGTCCCCGGGTGGCGGATAGGGGGTGGTGATGGACCATCTGTCCTCTCCCAGCTTTAATTTCACTTAAGCTGAGGGAGGGCAGATTGTCCACCACCTGGGAATATTATATTCCCCGCGGACCAAAAAACTGGAAAAAAAAAAAAAAAAAAAAAAATAAATATGGAAAATAAAAATAAAAAGATAAAAGTTACGGTGCAGGGCCTAAATAACCCAGTACCGGCGGCAAGTGTTGATCTACTCGCGAGTCACGTGTCGTCGTCATCCTGCAATCGTGAGCAGAATACTACTACGGAGGTGGGTACCTTGGCCTCCGTGGCGGACAATGCGTCAAGTGTACAGCATGCCGCTGGCAAAAATATAGGGGTGAAAGAGAAGGATGTACTCGGAGAGAGCTCTAAGCTACCTCAGCCTTTAAATATAGGTGAGGGTTCCGACTCTGAATCCTCAGATGATAATAATAATAATACCATTATAGCAAATCCCAAAAAGGATGAAGTAGAGCAAATGGTGAAAGAGGTGAGTGATAGCATAGCTAAACTACCTATTACTAAGAAAAGACTTTCTGGAGCACAGAGGAGGAAGTTGAAAAAGATGCTTCAGGAAATCATA